ACTTTGAGGTCTTCAACTCTGAAAATAGTTTTGTCACACATGCACCTTCCATTGCATAGTAGCTGCTAAGGATAATTGAGCATGTACTCACATATGTTTGTGACAGTCAAGAAACATATCAAATATTTATGGATTTTTTTCCATATGTCAAGTGGAGTTTAACTTCTTAGCCATACTCCTTTAGATGTGCAATCAAACAATACTGTGTTTGAACAATGTACAGTAAATGCCCATTGTCCTGAACTCAAACAAGACCTAAAGGGGAAGCCGGGCAGTGGTGGTGCATGCCTTTAATTCCAGAACTTAGGAGGCAAATCTCTGTAAGTTCGAGGATAGCCTGGTCTACAAGAGCGAGTTCCAGGATAGCCAAGGCTACACTGAGAAACTCTGTCTCAAAACAAACAAACAAACAAACAAATACACCTAAAAGTGAGACTTTCATTATCTCGATTTTCCTCTTAGGTAAATAACGACATAGTAAGATAGCAACCCTTGCATTAAGCAGTTTCTTCGGAGTTACCTGGATGACCATCTCAATCGCCTGTAGCATCTACACCTGCAGCAGTGAATTTTGGCAATGGGTATCTATTTGGATGGCCCTGTGGAGTTACCAGATTTTGACAAAGTGAACAGCCAAAGAACAGTTATACAAATGCATGTCTGTCTGATTCCACACAAATTACTTGGATGGAAATGCATCACATTTACCAAGGTAAGCCAAATATTCCTTTACTGAACATTCACCCAAGTACAGTGCATAAACACGAAAGTCCTAGGTGATCATTTTAAAAGTTAATTTATCCTTTTACTTAAAAATAAGTGCATCCTTCAGACACCCTTTATCCACTACTGATCCGATAAATGTTTGTTTCTAATCACCCAGTTACAGTCAGTATATTTTTTGTCTAGTATCCTCATTATAAGTTGCTTTTCCTCTTGTTTTTGGCATCTGTGAGAAGAAACAGTGTGAAGCAGAACCTCACCAACAATCTTTCAACAAAAGCCTTCTAATTTCATAGAAAAAGGATAGTCTATGTTATACCATGCCTTCGTGCTAGATCTAATACCATGTTTAGGCAAAGCCTTACTCAGCAGCAACTATTCCATCAGTTAACAATGTTCTATTTACCTTGTAAGTGACACAGAAAGATTGTGTATTCACAATGCATCTTCCCAGGTTTGGCATGGATGACATGAGGCTCTCTACCAATTTTTCTGCATTCTTCTGCCTTACTGTTCTTTGGTTTACAACTTTCAAAAAGCATCAAAGTTTGAAAATTAGAAAAATAGATCTAAGTGGAAAAGTATTTCCAAACTAATGGATGGTCCAAGACACTGACCCGTTCACCTAATATTAAACACCTATACTACAAGAGTCAAAGCACAGATAGCTTTGTTAGCCCATGCAACCCAGCAACTGAAGAAAATGGATCAGAAACTAGAAACTCATGATGTCCAAGTAGGAAAAGTTCAATAAAAATGCACTCATTTTAAGGAACATTTTATTATCTAATCATTTCAGAAGAAATTCTTTGGCACTTTAATAGTGCATACTCCTATATGTTTCAAAGAAATCTACTTGGTCAGCAGTTTCTGTGGAAGGGTTATCAACTGTTGCCCTTGAAGCATTTTCTTTTTATTGTATCTTGCTTGTCCCTGGCAGGATAATAAATACTGTTGTTCTATAAAAACAAAAAGTATGTGAAAAGCATTTTGTCATAATTTTCCTTATCTATCTACATCAATGCATAATTTTGCATCTTTAAAATCAAAAGGTAGTCATTACTCCAGGATTTGAAGCATCTTCTATTTCTTGCATCCTATCTCAAAAGTAATTTTGAGTAGAGACACATACTATTAACTGGAAAAAAAAGAATGATCCTCCTCTTTCCCTAAAGTCTTGTATAATATATTATTCTAATTGCTATTCAGAAGGAGACTAGACCATCAGTGAGATGCCCTAATTCTCACATATAAAATGCAGCAATCTAGCTCTGTGGGTGTTTAAAGTCAATAGTTGGTGCTCCACTAAAGAAAGAAATGGATACACAATTCTGCGAGATGGATGCTCATATACTGTTCACATTCTATTTTCATTCTAATTTCTGCGAGTGGGTACCATTAGTTAAGTATCAATTAGCATCTTAACTCTTTTTAACCGTCCCTGAATGGACAGACAACTAGTATGTTTGCCTTCCCTTCTCTGGTTGACACTAACTCTGACCAAGGACAGTTTACTAGGCTTGCCTATCACACAGTTTGATCCTCCCCACCCTGTTTCCCCAGCCTCTCTCTCTCAGTAATATTCCCAAGGAGATGGTTAGAGCTGCTCCCTAGTCAGGAAACAAAGAGGCTGCTAAACCAGCTCACAGCAACAGAATGCTGCCAACTCTATATATCAATGCCAAATGTTGGACATGTATTTTTTACATTGGCTGGAGATCATGGATTTGGAATGGATCTCTCTTAAGAGCTAAGTTGCTGCATGCCAGAGATGGTTGAAAAAAGAACCGCTGACAGCACCTTGTGGATAGACAACTCGGGTGAAGGGGGCAGAATTGTTAGGGAAAGAGGGGAAGGGAAAGGAGGCAGAAAAAAAAAAAGAAAATGAGTGGGTTATGAGATTTTGGTAAATAAGGTGCATATGCACAGACCCCAGTGAGCTGACTTCATACCCAGTGCACTCTGTGATGGTTCAACAAGAAGAGCTACATCTAAGACTGCCAGCCTCACCACCCACGCTCTTTCCATAGGAGAGGGCCTGGCCATTCAGTAGCTTCTGCTAATCTAGCTGAAACAATCCTGACACAAAAGCCAAGTCCATCACACAATTATTCCATCACAATTTTTAAAATGTTTTCTGTCTCCTTAAAGATGTCCTTTTTCAAAAGAATAATGTGCCCTTACCCTTTTCAGGATGAGGGAAACTTATTGTAATATAAAAGATAAATTTTTGAAATGTTTAAAGAGTTTGAGAGACAAAGAAGAATTGGTTTGCGGGGTTTTGTTTGTTTGCTTGCTTGTTTTTGTTAGTCCTAAGGTTCCACTCCATATATTTTTTGAGGTAAAAACGTCATTAACTCAACCTAAGTCTCCGTTCCCCCTCTATACATAGGAAATAATGCCACTCAACCCATAGATGGCACAGGGCTTAGAAAATGCAAAGTTCTAGCATGAAAGCCCTTACTTCACTTTTCTTTACCTATGTTGTTCTCATGGACCTGTCTTGGCCAACAAAACTGGGCTAAATAAATGATATTTAGAACTTTCCATTTTCTAAAATGATATTTTTCTTCAGCCTTATCTAATTCTTAAAATCATGATATGACAGGGAGTTGAAACAGTTGTCACTAAGCATACTCTACAAACGAAGAGCCCAAGACCAGAGAAGATAAACGACTCTGCCACAGCCCTGTGGCTAGGTAGAGGCAAAGGAATGATAAATGCCCGAATCCCTTCAAACCTACCTTTGTGATTTTATCATTGTGGACATTAAGATTCATTATATATGCAGAGCTGCACTGTGGCCTCGATGATAACAAATGAACTATTGCATCGAGGTTTTCTACTTTGATGAGAAAAAAAGAATAATTTAATAATTGAGAATGTATTATGCTTGAAATATTGGCGATTTAAAACTCAGTATTCATAAAGAACAGGGCACACACACAATATGAACTGTGCCATCATCCTCCCGATTCCTTTCGCTTTTCATCTCTTTAAATCATCTTTTAAGTGCTATTTAGGGATGTGCTAGCCAAAGCTACAAATGACAGGATAAAACTGGACTTTCTAGTCCCAATTCATGTTTCACTTAAGAGTGAAATTCTTATCTGATATTAAGCAGAAATGTCTAAAAATAAGTTATTACAAGCATTAGGTTTTTATCAAGCAATTTTTGAATAGTATACAACCACACTCTCCAAATAAAAAAAATCAAGTTATTTCTCTACATGTATTTATGCTCTCAGTAGAGCTTTATGACCCAAACAGTTCCATGTGAGCACATCAGGGAATTTCTGCTACCAAAAATGGTACCACACAGAAACCTGTATGAATAATGCGATTGGATGGGTTACCCTGCAGACGCATTGGAAAGCACACACTCACATGGCTGGTTAGGTGAATTTTCTCTATCAGCTCATCAATCATTTTAAGTTAGGTAAGTGGCAAAAGTCCCTTTCACGTCACATTTAAGTGGGGGTACTATAGGAGATCCCACTTTCAAGAGAACAGAGTCCTCGTCCTAAAACGCTCCTGTCCTTGATAACCCAATACACGGATTCCAGCACTGAAGTCCAGGTCGATCCTCCCCGGCTCAGTTTCGGAGCAGAGCACAGCAACCAGACACCTGATTCTCACACCTTCCCTCAATATTTTGCACTTTGTTCTGGTCTGGTCCAGGCCTCCATCCTCTTTCCTTGCTCCGAAGCCACCAAGAGTCTGCACAGCGACTCAAGCATCAAGCAGAAGTGTTTTCCCCCTTCTGTCTGGAGGCGGAGGATGGGTTGGGGTGGAGGTCCTCACCACGACCCTATGCCCCTGGGGAAGGGAGTGGGTGCCACCAGGGCGGAGCAAAAGACAGCGCGAGGTTGGTGACTTCCACGCCATCACCACAGCCCGGCGCCTTCCCGCCTCCGCCCAGGCCATGTTCGGGGGGTCCCCAGAGCGCGAAGCTGGTATAAGTGTGGAAAAGGGAAGTGAAACAACGTGCTGATGCGAGGCGTTAATTGTGGACACACACACAGGGCAGCCGCAGGTAGAACAACCCCGCCTCTCCCCAACTAGCTCCCCGGACCTGCCTGCAGCCCCGCCACTCGGGGGATCCCAGCGCCAGGACAAAGCTGCGAGCGCAGGGAGAGCTCGCCCTGGCTCACGGATCTCCCCTGGCCCGGACCCAGTCCCAAAGGACCTCGGGGATGTGCGATCGAACGAGGAGACCTCGGGCTGGGCGCCCATAGCGCCTGTCCCTGGCGTCCCCGCTGGGCGCCTGTGCTCACCTGTTCAGCACTTTGCGGATCCTCTGGCGCATGCCAGCCCGGGAGGAGGCGGACAGGCTCCCGCCGCCGCTGCCTTCAGCTGGCAGGTTCTCGATGGTGGTCACCACATGGTTCGGCGGGGCCGGCGGCGGTGGCGGTTGCAGCTGGGGCTGCGGAGGCTCGGGGGGAATCATCGCGGCGGAGGCGGTGGCGAGCGGCTATCAGAACGCTGCCGGGCACATAGTGCGCGGGCTCCGGGCCCGGGAACACGCAGAGAACCCGGCCAAGCAGCCCCGGCCCGGGAGGCGGTGCCGCCTGCGAAGCGACGACGCGGAGAGGCACCCGCGGCTCCGGCCGCCGCCTCCCGGCGCAGTGCCCTCGGCTTGCTACCGGGTCCTGGCCGCACACCCCCGCTCCGGGCCGCTTCCTCCCGCCCGGGCTCTTCGCTAGCTGCGACCCAAGTCCTGGCACACCCCGCCAAGTGGCTGCGAAGGGGGTCGGCGGGAACCCGGAGCTGCCGGGTCCAAGGCAAGGACTGTGCAGAGAGAGGAACCCGGCTGCCAGGCTTCGCCTTCTGTCCCGGTGCCCAGGGCTTGTCCTGGCGGTGGCAGTTGCGGTGGCGCTGCTTCAGCTGGTGCCGGCTTCGCTAAGAAGGCTGCCGTCTGTGTCTCACGGAGTGAGAGACCGAGAGTGAACCTGGAGCGCCGGGCGGGGGCGCCGAGCTGGCGGAGGGGGTCGGGGCGGGGGATGGGGGGGGACACGCGCGCTCTGCTGTCGCCAGAGGGCGCTCCGGCTGTGCCTTGGTGTCCCCAACCCTTCTCCTGGCGTCTAAAGAGGCCCTAGGTCTAAGATGTTGTGACTGGCGGTGGGTGGGTGGTTTTCTCTCTTTAGGGCAGCACAGGATAGATTCGCCCTCTGGAATTGGGTAGGGCCCCTCTTGCTTCTACCGAGGCTCTGCGGAATCAAGCACCACCGGCCCGGGGCAGCCTCACGGCTAGACCGCTGTTGGTCCAGGTTACAGATCCAAACGGAACACCCTAAATATTCCAACTACTCTCATCAGAAGGGATCTGCAGGAAATGGGAAGAAAAACAGATTCTCACCAAAAATGCATTCTGGGAATTGTGAAAAGCAAACCAAGCCACCCCAAAACATCTCCATTTAGGCGATGGAGCCCGGAAAGGAAAGCCTGCGGACTCTAATGGCACTTCTGGAAATAACGGAGAGCCTAGGCGGTTTCTTAAATTCTGGGACAAAGCTACTCATGAGACTCCCGGGGATGTTCTAAGAGTGAAATGAAGTAAACTACCCATCAGGAGGGCCGGATGGCTTCTTCAAGGTTCTCCAGTTGTCAAAGGGATAACTGTGTGTTAGCTACTGAAATCCTGAAGCACTTGCTACGAAATGGGCTTTGTCCCAGGCATTCCTTATACCTATTGATCTGCATTTCAGTCAGTAATTGACTCTGGAAATTGTTTCAAATTTCCCTTAATCTAGATTGCCTGGGCAAGGATCTTGCAATGAAAATGATATGCATTTAAGATTTTTCTCCATTTTACTGCAGAATAGGAATTGATCGCACTGAGTTAGTTTAACAGGTACATTTGTTCACACAAAAGCACATTGATACTGCCACTGAATCTAAATGCTCTGGAAACCAGCAGATAAAAACTGCTGTTTAGGATGTTCGGAGGCAAATGACATTCAAAAGTAGTAGACTATATCAAAAGAGGAAAAGGGGAGAGGGACAAAAAGAAGCCAGTTTCTGATGGAAACAGCAGACACCCACAGCTAAACACTGAACTGAACTCCTGGAACCCAGTTGCAGAGAGGAAGGAGTGATGGGCAAAGGAGTCAAAAATGGGATGGTAAAAACCCACAGAAACAGCTGACCTGAACAAGGGGGAGCTCATGAACCCCAGACTGATAGCTGAGAGGCCAGCATGGGTCTGATCCAGACCCCCTGAATTTGGGTGTCAGTGAAGAGGCCTGGGCAATCTACAGGGCCTCAGGTAGTGGATCAGTATTTATCCCTGGCATACGAATGGACTTTGGGAGCCCATTCCACATGGAGAGATGTTCTCTTAGCCTGGACACATGGGGGAGGACCTAGGCCCTGCCCTGGATTATATGACAGACTTTGGAGATCCCCCATGGATGCCTCACCCTTCCTGGGAGCAGAGTGGGGATTGGATCGGTGGTTGGGGTGGGGGGCTGATGGGAGACTGGGAAGGTGGGGACTGAGTGGGAGCTGGGTTTGATATGTGAAGCAAGCTTGTTTCTAATTTAAATATTTTTTAAAAGAAGCCAGTCGCTTTATAATATTGGTGGTACTCGTCATTAAAAGAAATTGTGGAAGCCAGAGGCAGGTGGATCTCTATGAGTTCCGAGGCCAGCCTTGTCTACAAAGAGAGTTCCATGATAGCCAGAATTGCACAGAAAAACCCTGTCTCAAGCAAGACAAAACGTGCAAAACCTCTCTAGTCTATATTTAAGTATTTGTCAAACCCAGTTTCTACCTGAACTGTCTGTCCCTAGAGTGCCTTTCTACAAAATTCCACCCAAATTGGGACATTTGCCATTTTATAATTAGAACATCACCTCACGCTTCCTTGGTGACTTTTCATTCTAGAATATTCACCCCAGATTTTCAGGACAGGTCCACGAATTACTACAAACAAGAACAAGGTTTGTAACCTTGTGAACATTAAAATTCCAATAGATTGCAATGAATTTGCCCTGGGGGAACTACCAGACGTAGCAGAATGAGTAAAATGCACTTCGGCTGGCCCTGGCAGCAAATCTCAATGGAAATATCTCTATTAAAACAGCATTTACAGTCATTCCAGGTGTCTTCCTTGAGTGACTGGTTGTTTCAGTGCCCTCTCCCCTCACATTTGGCTTGATTCCTTCTAAATGTTCTTGGCATCTCACAACTCAGCCCTGTGACTGCTCCTCCGTGTCTGCAGGCACATCTTTCTCTAGAGGGACTGCTAAATCCTTCTGTTCCATTGAGTCAGGAAGGGAGAAAACAACAGTGAGAAAATGAGATCAGAGGTGGTACTAGCTAGTTTGTCAACTCAACACAACAGTTCCCTGAGAGGAGGAAACTTCAATTAAGAAAATGCCCATAAAACCAGGCAAGCAAGCCTGTAGGGCATTTCCTTAATCAGTGACTGATGAGGAAGGGCCTAATCCATTGTGGGTGTGCTACCCCTCAGCAGGTGGTCCAGGGTTCTATAAGAAAACAGGCTGAACAAACCATGGTAATCAAGCCAGTAAGCAGCATCCCTCATTGGCCTCTGCATCAGCTCCTGCCTCCAGATTCCTTCCCTGTCTGAGTTCCCTCCTGCCCTGACTTCCTTCAGTAATAGACTACAATGCAGAAGTGTAAACCAAATAAACTCTTTCCTCCCCAACTTACTCTTGGTCTTGGTGTTTCATCGTAGCAATAGTAACCCTAACTAGTTCAAGTTCTAATCCCGCTAGTGAGAAAAGACCTTATATTGTCTCATAGCGTAGATGGCAGAAACCTCTCGGATTCAGTGTTCCACACTCTTGAATAGCTAAGTAGCATGTAAGAAATAGGGAAACAGATGTCAAACCTTCAAATGTAAGAGCAGTAAGTCTGACATGGAAGTAAACAGAAAAGATATGGAAAATTCCTCTTGCCACCTTCCTGCTCTTTGTTTCAAAATATTCTCCAGGACTTGCTATCAAACTGGGGGAGGGGTGGAAAGAAAATCTGACTCTCACTGGTAGCTTATGGGTCCAGAGCCACAGGGATCACCTTACAGCTCTCTGCACAGTCAGTAACCTGATAACCCTTGCAAAAATGTCCCTTCAGGCATTTCCCGCCATACTACTATATCACCTGAGTAGTTCTGAAAACACATACCAATTCTGTTGAATGACTTAAGGAAGCTGGCTATCAGCTCAACTACATCTTTGAATAGCATTGCTCATTTTGAAGTCATTTAATGCATGGAAGGATTGCATAGTTTGGTCTAAGATCCAGATCTCAGAGTCACTGGGCATTTTGATCAATTTGTTTAGGATTAAGTAAACATTTGCATTATAGTGAAAAATAACATCAAAGTCAGGGCTCAAAAGTACCTGGAGACAGTCCCCAAATTTTTAAGGAGCTGTCTAGATTATCATTGTTGCTTTGAAGTGACCCAAATACCTTCCTCTGTCATTTTCTTTCCTTTTTAAAAAAATTCATTCTATTTGTTGCTGTGAAGGGACACCATGACCAAGGAAACTTATAAAAGAAATCATTTAGTTCAGCTGACATACCATTTCAAAGGTTTAGTTCATGATTTTCACCGCAGGGAGCATGACAGTACAAAGGAAAACATGGTACTGGACAAATAAATAGCTAAGAGCTCTACATCTGGATGCAAAAGCAGCTGGAAGAGAGACATTGGGCATGACTTGGACTTTTCAAACCTCAAAGCCCTTCCCCCGCCCCGCCCCAGTGACACACTTCCTCCGACAAGGCCACAGATACTCCAATAAGGCCACACCTCCTAATCCTTCCCAGTAGTACTACTTTCTGATGACTAAGCATTCAATATGAGCCTACGAGGATCATTCTTATTAAAATCACTACATTCCACTCCCTGGCCCCCATAGTTTTCTGGCCATATGATGAAGAAATGTGTTCAGTCCAAGTTCCCATAGTCTAACACATTCTCAACACTGTTCAAAAGTCCAAAAGTCAAAGTCTCTTATGAGACTCACAGCAATCTCATAACTGTAACCCCCTGGTAAAATCAAAATAAAAAAAAATCAGACCACAGATCACATAGTTCAAACATACAATGACACAGGTTACACATTACCATTCCAAAAGGGGTGGTTGGGGAGGAGCATACTGAGAAAATCTTGGACCAAAGGAAGACTGAAAACCCACTGGGCAAACTACAAACTCTACATCTCCATGTCAGACGTCAAAGTTTTCTTCAGATGTCCAACTCCTTTCAGACTTGCTGACTACAGCGTACTTCTGACTCTTGGGGGTGGTTTCACGTTCTGTTAGCAGTTCTCCTCTGCAGGTATTTCAAGACTCTAGCATCTCCAACACCTTGAAGTCTTCAATGTAATCCAGGCTTCACTTTCAGAGACTCACACAATGATCTCTCTAGGACCACATGCAAGGACACTCCTTACATGTAACTGGCCTCAGCAACTTTCCTCAGTTATGGAGGGAGATTCCACAGCCCCTCTCTTGTATCATTGGCTCTAAAGTCAGAACCATGGGGCCAAAGCCACCAAGTTCTGCTGCTTGCTGGGACTGGAACCTGGCCCGCTTGTTCAATTACATCTGCATCATATTTCTATTGTTGTTGGTTTCCTTCA